CCAGCTTATATTCTCCTTGCTACTGACTTTTGTTACACTGTGTCTCTGTGTTAGGTGGCCATCTTGGTGAAGGCAGGGCTTTGCTTTGTAATGCAATAACCTCCAGCTAGGAGAACAGAAAGCAGCACAGTGGTGACATCACCAAATCTCACTCCAAATCTCCTGAGACTATCTGTCGGAAGCAGCAGTGCCTAAAATCTCTCACTGCAGGTATACAAGTATGAACCTGCAGGCACAGGAGGGCCAAGGCGCTCTTACATATCAGGAAGTACAGTGCTGTTTTTCAGGAGGAATTTAAGACAAAGGGTACTTTTATTTATTTGACTACTGGTTGGGCACAATTGACATTTTATAAATGTTTACCATAAGACCGCAAGGAGTATGCGTATGGGATTTGTATTGCTTTGCGTGCCTGTTTTGTGAGCCCCATTCCCTTCATTCCTTGTCCTGTTGAGCCCAAATTTTCCTCATTGTTAATCCTGTTGAACCTCCATTCCCCTCATTGCTTGTCCTGGTGAGTACCCATTCCCCCAATTTCTACTCCTGGTGAGCCCCCACTTCTCATTTCATGTCCTGGTGACCCCTTATTTCTGATCCTAGTAAACCCACATTCTCAAATTTCTTGTTATGGTGAGCCCCCACTTCCCTTCATTTCTTGGCCTGGTGAGCCCCCACTTCCCTTCATTTCTTGGCCTGGTGAGCCCCCTCTTCCCCTCATTTCTTGTCCTGGTGAGCCCTCATTTCTGATGCTAGTAAACCCACATTCTCCAATTTCTTGTCCTGGTGGGCCCCCATTTCCCCTCATTTCTTGTCTTATCACAGAGGTATAAAGTTGACTCTCCCCTGTGGAGTCTCAGACTGCAATAACAAACATGACAGAAGTTTTAGCTCCTCCACAGTCCACACTGATTGTTTTTTTATCATGCCCATTAGTATCTGAGACATTCCAGGAACTGGCCCCCTCTCATGTCAGTCAGGATAGATCATACCTGTGGGGAAATCTCTATATCAGAGCATCCTCGGTTTAGTCTGTAGTGTAAACACATTAGTGTAAATGATCTCTTTACATAGGATTAATGAAGTTTTTCCCTTTTCCTGGCAGACTTGCATGGCGCAGTATTTGACTCACAGAAAGCTCAGGATAACATACGTAGTCCTCCCTTGTATAAGTACAACTGTCCAGTACCAGGTAGGATGTCCTTTTGCCATCAAAACATGCTCTATTCTTCGTGCTGTGGATGCTGCAAGATTCTGGGAATGTTCTTTTAAGTCTTGGGTCTGTACATACTCAACATCATGCCGTTCTGTGAATTTTAGGCACATGTTGATGTTGTCATCCTTCCATTGCTGCTCATCCTATGTAATGAATTCATGCCAGATATACCAAATTCTGACCCCGCCAAGGTGCTGCAGCAGTAGTCGAAATTCTTCAGGCCAGGAAATGTTTTTCCAATGTTGTTCCCCCAGTTTTGGTTATAGACTGCCCACTATAGCCACATTTTTATTTTCTTGGCTCCCAGGCATGACCTTGTTGGTGTGTGTAGTCCATCCTCTTGAAGGTCCAAAGTGTTGTGTAATCAGCGACTGCCATTTTGTGCACCCACTGCTATACAGAGAGGACATTTTACTCTGATCTTTTTCTTATTTTGCCTACAGAGCTCCAGCTCACCAGATGCTTTTCATACCATCCTATGTAAACTCTAAACATGGCAGTGTGAAAATTCCAGGAGGTTAGCAGTTTCTTACACTTCTGGCACCAGCAGTCTTTCCAGCGTCAGAGGGGCTTAGATCATGTATCTCCTTATTCTGATTTTTGATTGAGCAGCCTTTTGTCCATGTCTGCATACTGCAAAAAAGTGGCCACGGATTGCAAATAAATTGTATAGTAGTTATGTTTTAACATGACCAGAGAAAGCACTGAGTCCCTAGGGAGAAAAGTGCAATAGGAAAACATGGGTTGTGAATTTGTTGCTCCTGTGTTAAAATCTGAGGTTTATAGCACAATAAAGGTCTGTATTCGCAGGCTTTGACCTTGTGTGCATGGTTCGATCATGGTCGAGTATTTGACATCGGTTTGAGAAAATTGAGATCATTCGAAGTTCATTAAGGGGTTCATTTGACCTCCATTTGACTTCCTCCTAAGCTGCAATATCCTTCAAGCTGCATTTGCATTCCCATCGACTTGGATATTTAGAGGAGCGGTTCTGATGCAAACAAAGCCCGTTGACACAGGCCTTGATGCAAACAAAAGCCCGTTGACACAGGCCTTATTGGTCTTGTAGATGCGCTCTACATCAATTTATGCTTTAGTTGTGGCTCATAACCTTTCTGGTTTTCTTCTAGGTATGCCGTCATCGCTTTTGGCTGTGCCAGCTGCCCAAAGTTAACATGCGGTCGTGACGGCTGTGGAACAGAGTTCTGCTACCACTGCAAACAGATCTGGCACCCTAATCAGACATGTGACGCTGCACGCCAAGAACGAGCTCAAAGCTTACGCCTGAGGACAATCCGCTCATCATCCATCAGTTACAGCCAGGAGTCTGGAGCTGCAGGTATCTCCGTCATAGGTTTTTTTATCATAATCAAGTATTGTTGTTATGGAAGATGGCAGCAGTTCATACAGGGATGTCTAGAATGCGTTTAGTTCTTTATGTGGGCTCATTTCATACAATGGCTCGCTTTGTCAGTGTTCTTTGCTTTTCCTGTGAATGTAAACGTTTCTGATAATCAGCTCGGTGGCAGGCAGTGTAAAGTTATCTCCTTATTGCACATCATTTTGGCATGGAGCCCGGAATGCCAAGACAATCTTCCTTCTGTAAGATATCTGTGATTTGATGGTGCTTGTACACACTCGTAGGTTGCAAAAGCTCATCTGAAGCACCCTACATATTATTCATGGTGTGTTGCTGTTGGTTGGGTGAACAACAATTACAGTTCATTCTTTAGAGTACAAGAATTGTTCTTTGGCACAAAAAAAAGCAACACAAAAGCTTTCTGCATTTGGCTTGCTTCCGAGTCCAGCGCCCATGCATATAAAATGTAAAGCTAGCCAAAAATGATAATTTTCATGCATTCATACATAAATATTTCCTTGGATGGTATATGAATGTGTTGGTGGACACTGAGAGACCAGATGAGGCATCACAAGGGATCAACCCACAAGAACCGGCTGTCCTGTTCATCGTTCTCGAACAATGAAATCCAGTTTTTATTTAATGTCTGCTGTACAGGCCAATATCTGCTCTAATATCAAGTGGTGGTTTGGGGGTTACATCAATTGGTTCCTTATGATGCTATATGAAATAAATGTATTATCTTCCATTGTGTGAGATTTCTTCAGATATTCTGCTTACCTGCCCCAATACTCACACTGGTGTGCTGTGGAAATTTTTAAACCCTGTAAATGAATGTAATTGGTGGGATTGCTTCTGTTGCACTCTATGCATTATGCATTCTGTAAGTTTGACTCTGGTTGAACATCTGGATTGCTCAGGTTTGGACAACCCCATATATTTGACCAAATCCTTGGTAGACCTGTACATGTAAGGGCACTATACATTCATATTCAATATCCCAGTGGATCCATTTGCTTTCTGAAAAAGCACCATGTTTGTGGGCTTGTCCAGTGTTTAACTTGTCATTTCCCAAAGGACTAAGTGACATCTCAATGTTGGTCAATCCCGTGGAACGATTGCTTCTTCCTTCCAGTGTTTATAAGAGACACGTACACTTTAATAAGAGTCTGACGCTCTCTTTCATCTTTTTTCAATGTGCATCTTATACTTAAATATAATTTTCCACATTAGTAGAAGGTTAAGACCCTTTTGTGTGTCCTGGTTATACTGGTTTAGAACACTGCCCTGGTACCTTTTCCCATCCCATCAGCTGGCTGAGTGGTCATCAGTTTGGACATAAAACAACATAAATTCCATATGATAGAAGTGATCGTAATATATTTACCTTTTTACTGCAACAATGTTTAAAGTAGAACTAAAGACAAAACCGTTTTTTTAAGATTTGGATAGAGTTGTGAGGGCTTAGAACCCTTTAGGTTTTTATTACAGTCTGGGTGCCCTTTAGATTCACTTTCTCTAATTGTCCTGATCACCAATGTCACTGGGACAGAAAGTGCAGGCAAGTACAGTTTTGAGTTGCCACCAACTGCAGAGGGGATACTTTTTTGTACGATGTGTCTAAAAAGGGGTGGTTCACCATATTTGAAAGATATCCTCTTCCTGTTGCGTTTACAGTACAGGAAGTGAAGGGAAATATCTCTAATGAGCAACATATGGCAAAGAAATGGACTGCAAAAGTGTTCGCTATAGATATGTTCACTTTTACGAAGAGTACGATAAACTTTGAATTATAGTGTGTTCAGTTGGTGTCATGGGTCCTGAGTCTCTTTAGTTGTGACTATAGCTCTTTGTTTTCTCTCAACTAGCAGATGACATTAAACCGTGCCCGAGATGTGCTGCTTATATCATAAAAATGAATGATGGGAGCTGTAACCATATGACGTGCGCAGTGTGCGGCTGTGAGTTCTGCTGGCTATGCATGAAGGAGATCTCAGACCTGCATTATCTAAGGTGAGTGCAGATGAACCCATAAATACATTGTCCACAAGTCATGCATTGAAACTCCTCCTTTTTTATGGTATGCTTAGGTGATAGGACAAAGAAAAAGGTAAGGTGGCATACTTTGCAATGAATTATAAAACAAGAAACAAGCCAAGGGCTCTGTTCTTTAGAAGGCACCTTTAGGGTTCAGTATTCAGCCGGCCTGTTCTTACTTTATTATCTTCAGCAGCAGTCTTGCCCTACCCATCCTAATCTTTTCCATGTCATCCATCCACTTTTCTCCACTTCCTATCATGTGGCATATTTGCACTTCTCACGTGCTAGTGCCAGTCCTATGGGGTGGCCAGGGAGACTCCCCAGCCAACCAGTCAATTCTCTGTACCGATTAAGATCATCCTGCATGCTTTCTGCACTCGGGGCCATCCATGCAGAATTTTAATTTGTTTATTTTAATTAGCCCTCAAGCCAACCCATCAAGATTGGTTGAATGTACACTTAAATAGAGGGATCAGTTGGCATGAGGGGTATCACATGACATTCAGCCAATTGCATAAGAGTTAATAAAGACAGACTTTTTAGTTACCCCTTTGCATCAGTTTGCCAACCTTATTGAGTTAGTGGGTGTTTTCCACCCTTCAAATTAGATTAGTTGACTAGAGGGATTGGTTGGCATAAGGGGTACCACATCCCATTGAGTCAAATTACATCCATTACACTTATTTTAGAGTTGGTTGTCTGATTGGATGAGTGTACTCCTGTGAGGTAGTTTAAAATTCCATGCCAAGAGAGTTAGGCTGGCAATAGATTATATGAATTTCGGTCGATTTATGACAAATTCATTATTGTCGAACCGGCCAAAATTCACACAGTGGATTTTGCTAACAGCACCCTTTTGGCTGGCATCCCTTAATCAGCTGATGAGGCTCTGCTGGCTCTGTTTGGGTATTATGAAGACAATGGGAAGTTCCTTCATCAATGCTCCTAAGCGTTGATGGAGGAATCTGTTTTCTTTGTTCAAACCGCCACAGTGTATGGGCATCTTTATACTGCCAATCAAGCATGTGGTATGTGGTAGAGCTGCATCAATCCCAGGCCTGGATGGAAAGAAACACAAATCCTTTGGCAGGTAAAACGGCCCTCATATTGATGTTTCATCTGTGTATTTAACCTGAAGTTTAGCTTTAACGTCTTGAGTTGAGGCATAAAACGGTCATTAAAGGCTGAGGCGAAAAGTCTTTTTTTGTTCATCGCCGTCACCTTTTATAAGTCCTTTTCTGCTCTGTGTAATGGCCGTCACCTTTTATGGGCTGACACTTGGCTGCTCTTGTTTATAGCATTTCCTCTGCATTGTCCTTCAAGACAATTACGGCTTTGGAGGCTGAGAATAGACGGGCTTAAATAGAAATTGTAAAATGTGGTGACTATTTTCAGACTCTTCTGTCATGCCCGAATTCAAAGCCAGCCAGCAAGATTTCATCCTCGGACAGTGCCAGAATGCCGTTTTGTACATTTACTTGCCGTTCTCCTGAAATGCTTTGTAAAGGAGATCTAAAATGTTAGTGATAATGCATCTGAGCAGAATTTGGGATTCTGATGGGCAATATTTCAGTAGTTTTGGGTGGAATTGGCCCCCTTTTATTTATTTTTTTAATCACATCAGTACTTTAAGCAGTGGTGTATTTAGGTTTCATCTTGGCACGTTCGGCTACGCGAGCTCTCGCAAGCTGAGGTGCCGAGGAGAAAATGACATGACACGCTATTCGCAAAGGCAGCGCGCCACCGCTCCACGCTGCTTCGCGTGCAGTGTTTCACAGCCTTAAGCAGTGTGAATGAGGCCTTAGTGTTGCAGGGAAGCCAGGGTCTCAAGTGGCTGTAAAGGATCTCTGGTGGGCACTGCAGGATGTCAGGCTGAGACCACCATAGACCCTGCACATCCCACCATAGACCTTGCAGTGCCCCTGCAAACCCCACCAGAAACCCCCCAGAGTCCACCATAGACCTTGCACAGAGACTTTAAGGTGGGCTGTGCATGATCTATAATGCACACATGCTGCTCTTCTTACCTGCAGCTCCCCAGCCTGCTTCCATTCTGCATCTTGCTTCCAGCCTGCATCTTACTTGAACCGCCCGCAGCCGGGGCCGTATCTATCTCGGTCCCATCCCATCTGCAGCCGCGATGCTTCTTGGAGCCGCCATCCCATCTGCTGCCTCCACCGGCCCAGGTCCGCGTCTCCCATGGTCCCATTTTGTCTTTCTGCAGCCGCCGAAGCTTTTTGGAGCAGCACTGCAGCCTCCGACGGCCGGGCCGCTTCTCCCTCGGCCCCGGCCACGACTCCTCGTACACCCGCCAGCCACTGCCAGGCCCCATTAGCAGCCACCTGTTAAGGCAGCCAAGGCTGCTTGATCTTGTGCGCCCATCATCAGCTTGTTTTCCCCCCCTAAAGCTGACTATATATAAAAAAAACCTTAATGCCACCTAGGGACCTCCAAAGAAGCTGATGAAGCAGAGATCTGTTTCACCAGCTTCTCTCCAGCTACAGATCCCGAAGAATGACAGCTGAATGCGGAAGTGATGTAACACACATCACTTCCTGCATTCAGAGATCGGCTGGGAGATCAGGGGGAGATTGTGATTATCTCCCTCTTATCCCTACTGGCGGAACTGCTGTGCTGGTCCCGGACCCACATCGGGATCG